GATTTTTATGCTTGAAACAGTTGAGAATTAATACTCAGCAGTAAATACTAAATCTGTGTGTGGTGACTGACAGATTAAGCACTAGGGATTCCAATGGAGATTAGACCACACATTCTGAAAGTGCAGATGTCAGTACTATTTTACATCACAGTCCTGAGTTTAGCTGCCTTATGTTTCGCATAAAACCAGGGACTGTTGTATCATCCTTTTGTTCTTTTTTTTCTGTTTTATGTCTCCTTTTTTTTGTGCCCCATTTTCTCAGTTGCTTCACACTGGTGGTTTTGGCCTGTTCATCCTTGTAGAGATCGAGTGATAACTGATGCAGCAGAAATGTGAAAGGCAATATAAGGCTATGAGCCCTCTACCTGAGTTAGGTAGGTGGCCTTTTGGTTGACTCTGAGAGAGGATTTGAGAGTGGGAGTTGAAGCGAGGCAATCTAGCAGCAGAATAGAAGTCGGAAAGCAGAAATGGAAAATTAAATGAGACACAACCTTGGGGAAGTTGTATCATATGTATCTGATACTTGTCAGAGCTGCCACCTTTCAGTTGAGTTCTCATAGTTTGCTAGCACTCGCATAGTTTACTAGATAACGTGTTTATTTATTCATCTCAGATGCACTTTACCAGTATGCATATGAATTCATGTAGAACAAGTAAAAGTCATAAAAGAAATATGTCCTGCCCCAAGGCCTTAAAATCAATGTGGGGAGAAGTGAGCTACGTGCATAAACCCAGCAAAGTGAGAGAATTAATTCACTTTCACCAACTAAAAGCAAGACTGCAGCCAATTCTGAACAGAGCTATCCACACGTAACTGATCACCACTACTCAGAAATGCAGCAGGATTTACTGAACAGTAACAAATGCCGCTAATAAGTCTAGTAATATCATCAAGAACAGACCTAGTCTTTGTAGCAAACGTGTCATTAGTGACTCTTGTTAGTTTTCACTGCACTCAAGGGATAGAGCGTTGGAACAGTGCCCAAGGGAGACAGTGGAGTTGCATCACCATCAGTATTTAAGGAGAAATTGGCTGCTTCTCTTGAAATATCTACTTTGCTCCAGTCTGGGGAGATGCTCATTAATCTGTATGTATTGGAGGTATGGAATTAAAGGTTCCTTGGCCTATTTCTTTCCTTCAGTGAACCCTGAAAGAAATTAGGGGTAGCTTTTATTACACTGAACTCTGCATTAATATGATGATTATATTATATTTCATGGATCAGGGTTTCTGCTAGCTGTCTGCCAGGAACTGCTCTGCCCGTTCCCCTTACATATTTTGACTTTGGTGAAAGCAGGCTTCCTTGTGAGCATCAAAACCAGGTCATAGCTGGCATCCGGATAATAAGTAGGTCAGGTCAGTGTAATCTCCAGGAAGCTGGTGCAGAGAATCCCCTTGTGTGTCTCGGCAGTGATTTGCTTGTGGGCCTGTGATCATTCAGGTTTTTCCCCTGGTTTAGCCTGGCAGGAGCTCAGGGAGTATTTCAACTTTGTGCTGCAGAGGTGTGGTTTGGCTTTTGGAACTACCTGGACTTCCTTCTGCTCATTAGTTCTTGGCCGTTGCAAAGGCTTTGTGTAACACTGGTGCTTTGGCTTTTTTAATTTTTTTCTGTAGTTACAATATGCTAAGTAATGCATAACTAGAGTCTTTCAGCTTGATACAGGTTATTTGAGTGAAACGTAGTTGTGTGTGACATAGAGGTCAGACTGGATCTGCTTCGCCTTGGCCAACTAAGATGTGTGCCTTGCTATGCAAAAAGAATTTAATATTTTACAAGTCTGACTTTCAGTGTTCATGTAGCTGAAGTCAGAATTTGTTTCTCTTAGGAAGCCCACTACGTCCAATCCTTATCATGATTCCAAGGACAACATCAGTGTTTTGCCTGTGTTTTCTTCAGACTGAGATGTCTTCAAAGAATTATTGTTTTCCACCTGACTGTAAAGCAGAACAACTCTTCCAAAAACTTAACCAAAAATACCTGCCAACAGAGGGATTAAATTAGCAACCAAAGAGGCTAAGAAAGCTGTTTAACTTTTTTAAATAGAAAACCATGTCTTACCCATTCCACATTGCTTCTGAAGTTGGACTTTTCTTTCCTCCAGTACTACAGAAACAATTTTGAATGGACGAGAACCAAATTGCTTCAAAAGGAGGAGGATCCTCTAACACTGTAATAATATTAGAGAGATAGGAGACATGATAGCTGCAGCTTCTGCTATGTTACAGCTCTCAAAGCTAGTCTTCACTTCCAGTTGTGCCACATGCAGAAGCTGGAGGATTTACTGGAAGCTGCTTCTGCCTCAACTGTTTTATTTGGGTATGTTTGGGAAATATAGCAAGGTGATTTTTTTTCTTTACTTGGCCCTCCAGAGACTCAAGGTTTTTTGCATAACAAATGATATTTTAATATTATAAAAGAGCTTTGTAAAAGACTTTAAATTTGTACACTTGTGGGTTGCGGTGTTTAATCTAGTACTTAAAAAATGAGATTTTAAAGTAGATAGCTCTAGTGTTATAAGCATGTTCTTGGGAAACAGCCAGACTTCTTGGTTTCCCCACAACATTTACAAATGCACAGAGCAATTTTTTTGCATGATTAGTACTGTTTATATCCAAGGCAGTGAAGTCCATTTTTGTGTAAATCTTCCATATTAGTCTGCTTTAGTAGTTAGAGATGTGAACAGAAGAGCCTGCAGACTGACGAGTAGTGAACCATAGTTGCTTAAAGAAGAGATCCAATGTGGGTCAGCAGGGACTGAAGTGGGAACTCTGGCACCCAAAGCACCATCTATGTAATTCAAGCAAAAGAGGAGTTCTTTTGCTTGCAGAGGATGGAACAGCACTTGTGTGACCTGTGCTGCAGAGAGGTGTGGTGGCACCTGTGATCCACAGCCTACAGTGGTGATGCACCAGTTCGCAAGACCATGTACTGGTCAGGTTTTATGCTTTCCCATCGCTGAGCCCTGTCTGGAGATGGATCCCTGCACCCTACCATAAATGCTGCCATACTGTCCTACTACAACACCTTTTCTCGGGAACCTGACCTACCTTTCTCTTTCATCTGAAATGTCAGTGCAGAAAAAAAAATAATGCATCATTCATTTTGTCTTAATCACACTTTTAAAATTTTCCTGTATATTTATATGATAAATGCAAGTCAAATAAAGACAAACCAAATTGGTGCTTTAATGACTGGAGACCTATCTGATTTTGAATGTTTTAGTCTTTCACAGTTTAATTTGTGTTGGGAACTGCTAGTGACCCAAATTTTTATTTGTGGTTTTTTAACTTTTTTTTTAAAACAAGTCTGAATCTTTCCTTTCAGACAAGAAGTAGTTCTTGATAGAATAGGATTTTAGAGAACTTCACCATTTTCTTTTGTGTTCTGATCAAGCCTCAAGAGCATATTTTGTCCTCTTCAGCATTCCCAGTTATGACTTGGTTTGTTGTGGATGAATTTATGGGCTTTTCTGTGAAATATATGCCAGTGCTCTGCAATTTGTTTACAAATAAGTTAGTGTCTGTTAAACAGCTGTAGCTTTGCTGCTGTGCAAGTCACCTTGAATGACTGACTCTGTCTTCAAAGGTAGTTGAAGTTAGTCCTCATTTAAGTGCTGACATTCAACATAATGCCTTTAACCAAAGGAATGTAAAAAAATAAGTATTTTTGTTCTAATTTTCAACTTCTTGTTTTGCTGCTTGCCTAGTATGGAGTAATTTTACAACGTCCAACCATTTAGCCAGCAATCTGTAGGGCTCTTCCTCCACCGTGTTAATGTCCTTCCTTCTGCTTAGACTGGACACCATTATATGATTATTGCTGTTCACCGGGCTCAGGTATCCTTTGTGATGGCTGAGGTCTGTGTAGCATCCATTGTTTATATTACAAAAGATATGTGAAGTAGTATTTAGAGAATTTATTTTCTCAGTGATAATTTCTCACTGAGATTCAGCCACCACCACATGTAATTGTGCTTTGTCCCCTTCCCTCATAGCTCTGGTATGCAGGGAAGGAGGTCCTTTCTCTTCTTGGGAACTTGTGTATTATTGGGAAGGAGTATCATCCTGGGAAGATGCTGGATATAAGACTGAGTAAACTTTTTTCCTTCATGATTTCTTTGCTTCATTCTAGCATCTGCCTTGATATGGGCATAAAACTGTTCCAGTTGAGTCTGTCAAATTGAGGAGTTAATATTAGTGTTAAGCTGCCATATTTTGATGCTGCAAGGTTGTACTGGATGGGGGGTCAGTTATGTGTACCTCAGCCTTTTTTTCTTGTCGTTACTTTTCTTTTTTTTTTTCATCAAAAAAAAAGCATCTCTCTGGTGATTTATGATCTCTTTCCACTAGAACAGTTTCCTGTCCTTGAACCAAACTTTTCACACGCAAACATTACTGCAAGACATTTCTTTTCAATCAGGTGTATATTTTTCCTCTGGTGATAGTGACCTTCACACACAAGGTACTGAGTGTCCCTTTTATAGGAATGATCCTTCAAGCCCCATCTCACTGGCATCCTGTTGTGTGATTGCCTTTTCATTCACATAGTGCTTCAAGGTGGGATGATGGGTAATAAGCTTCATGCTACCTGTGATGGCTGTATCAAGTTGAAAGAGACGTATTCAGGCTGCATCTTTATTTTGCATCTGCTGCATCTCTCATAGGAGTACTTCGCTTGTAGCACTGCTAGCAGCACCCATTCATGTGTTTTAACTGGAGGCAGTGATTGTGCTTGTCTGTACTTTCTGAAACTTCAGTGTGTATATTTATTCCTTGGTTGTTTTGTATATAATTATAACCTGTGTACTTCCTTCGGTTTCATGATTATTTAATTCAATTTGTCTGACAGTAGCTTTCATTATCATCTTGTGTAATTCTAAGGAAATTTGCGTGGTGTATGTAATACATGGACTAATGTTCATATTGCGTTTAATTGTTTGGACTTTGTGTGTGTATGTCTCTTTCTGTATACCTAATGCTGTCTTTGCTTTGCGAACAGGGTGCTGCGTTCATGTTATACGTGCAAAATGTTATCTCCCAAGCCACGGATCCCTGTTGCTCCCTTCTTCAATATGATGCAGTATGTTCTTGTCTGGAAGCTGTGACATAATTATTCCCTTTACCACAGTTAGTGCACGTGACCTGTTCTGCAAAATATTGCTTTACCATCTTGGGTATTTTTCTTCCCAATTCCCACATGTCTTTGTATTAAGCTCATATGTGTTTTGAACTTGAGCATTTACTTTTTGCTTGCCTTCTTACCTTCTGAGGTAGTGGATGAATGGACTCAGCCTGTAACATACATCATCTCTGCTTGGATGTGGCCTTGCTCACTAGCTTTGCATGTATCTGTAGGTCTTAATTGAGTTCCTGAGTATTATTTGTTTCCTATATTTTTCCCCTTATTAATCCATTGCGCATTAGTTCATCTTTTTAAGATTTCATAATAGCATGACTTGGCTGCTTAATGCAGATTGGCAACCTACCAATCTGCTTTTTCTCCAAATTCATTATTATGCTTTGTTGGCATATGACAGACATTGTGGACTGAAAATGCTTCTAGAATGTTATATAGAACCTCCCGGTTTGTGCTGAAAAATCCCAATGCTGTTTGTAGCCTGTGGCAGCCGTTGCCCATTACAGATGATAATGTGGCTGCTCTTATTCTAGTTCTCTTTCTCTAGCTTCACTGCAATTTTTCATTGTGACCAGAAGGATTTCCAATTTCTAACTAAATTCTTTTCATCTCTGTCTGCTCAGGGACAGGACTCTGGTTCATTGCCATGATCATTGTTTGCTCTTTGTGTGTGTGTGCAGGAGGGAGATTCAGTATTCTTAGCTTCTGATATCAGATATCTGACAGAGCTAATTCCTTTCTGTCACCAAGTTCACCGCAGGAGAATAAAAGGAGGTGGAGCCAAGGAGTCTGACTTGAGCTTTTTTCCCTTTCTGGTTCTGTATTATCCCATCTCATTAAGCACTTTGTAAATGCAGAGCTCTCTAGATGTTGTGTTATATGTGAACATGCCATAAAATCTCCTATTGGGTAGCAGTATAATTGCAAAACAGCAAGCTTGGGAAACTAGTGCTTTTTTTTTTTCCTTTTTTTTTTTTTTAGTGAACACATCCGAAAATGAGTTGGAAAGAGATTGGTTACCTCATTAATGAACATTTGTATAATCCTTGGAGACTTGTGAATGAAAAACTTGATTGAACTGCAAAATTGGTGGTAGCGATGGCTGTCTTTGTTCACACTCAGCTTTATTATTGCAGCTGCACACTGAGCCGTTTCCCCTCCTTGCCTGTACTTGAGCGCTTTCTTCTCTACACGCAGCAGTCCCAAAAACTTGCATTTTTTTAAAGACCATTAATATGTTGCTTGGTTAGACTAATGGTCCATGTAGCCCCTTGTTCTGTTCCAGTAGCAGCAGCGCTCCCTTGTAGTCCCCAGCATCCACCATCATTGTCTTAGGGATGCTAGAGGTACATTCCTGCCTCTTTCCTTTAGCATCTCTTTAAGGACAGATTTTTGCAAGAATTCATTCTCCTTTTGCTGTAAGATATATTGGTTGAAGCTTATCAGTATTGAACTGCTTTATTATCTGTTAGCCTGTGCACCTGCTCTTAAATATCTGCCTTCTTTTGCGTTTGATATAATTTGCAGTGCTCACTTATTTATGACCACTGAGTATTTTAAAAGTCAAATCGTCTTCTACTCCTACCTGTTATCTATCTAACACTGATATCCCACTTGACAGTATTGATCCTAATTCCACAGAACTGCTGGATCATGTTGTGCATAGGTTATTCTCCAGGAAGGTCCAAGGTTTCCCCAGCGATTCACCTGACCATAAAGCTGGAGTCTGGGTTGGGTCCCAGGTTCCCTCACAGGGTCCTGCCTGTAGGCTGTCCCCTGCCCTGTCGTCAGTTGTTCCTGGGCACTGTGCCTTCACTGTGCTCCACACAGAGCTCTCACCAATTTCAGATTCAGCTTTTCCTTAGATTCAAGTCTGAGGTGACACTATGGGTTACAGAAGCTGTTCTCCGAGGGTCTTTGTGCCCTGCTGGAATGAGGGCAAGACATCTTCCATGACAATTGCACTATCCACTGGAAGATAGACAGCTTTTCTGGAGGATATGGTACAAAGTCTTGTTCCATCTGCAGAGGCCCTGATCATAGTGCAGAAGGTGGGGAGAGGACACTGTATCTCTACCTTCCTATGCTAAACCTTACTTGGCTGCCTGATCCCCACAGAACAGGGCTGAGTCTGCAGAGGTCCTCTTCCACTTGTAGTCATAGGCAGAAATGGGAAAGGAAGAGATGGTGATTTTACTAGAAGTTTACTTACTTCGTAACCTTTGGCTATTCCCTGTCCTTGTAATTAAGCTCTCACCTTAGAGCTCACCTCAGACGTGTGTTTCCTTTTCCTTTTTTTGTTAAAAGTTAATAGGTTGAGTTATGCTGTGATTTTCATCTTGGCAGTATCCTCAAAGAATCTCAGTTGATCAGAGACGGGATTTTTTTTCCTTCTGGAAATAGATCAAATTTGTTTTAATCAAGCAAATTCAATTTCATCGTTCCTCTTTTTGCTCTTAAGAGAAGACTTTGTCATAATTCAAGTTTGTCTAAACTCCGTGGTTCCCTAGGGCATATATGTAAGCTTGTGTGATTGAATTACACTTGTCACTAACTTGAAGAGTCTTCCTTGGCCTGAACTGTTTCTAAAAATCTCTTTTCTGAATTGTATGAGTGATCAAGACTTAGTGCCCTTCTAGATCCGTCCCCCTAGTTTTGAATAGTATTTTCAATATCATTAGTGTGTTAGAAATAAACTGGGATTGTCTTCCTTATCACTGAAGACATTTGCTTTAACTTTACGTTGTTAATGTACTCATGTTTCATAAAGCTGTCTTCATTAAAAAGCCTAATTTTTTGTGGCCACAAAATTTGCACATAGTTGCAGGCATGTAAATGTCATTCATAACTTCCTGGGTTTCTCCCACTACATGAAGTAATATATATTATTTTTATATTCTGGAGTCTAAGGTGAAGTTCTCTACTAACTTCATTATGCTAAGGCTTTATCCATCTAAACTGAGGTGGTGGTAAAAATTATGTTTTAATCTAGAGCCTTAAGAAGCTTAATTAAGGACAAGAACCTCATGTTCAAGTTGATCATCAAATAAAGAACAGGGAGTGCAGTGCTTGTTCCAGGGAGCTTAACAGCAAACCTTGTCTACATATGTCCATTAAAAAAATGAATGTAAACTATAAAGACACTATATGAATTTCTTAGCAAAGTTCTTTTCACAGGTGAACAGATGTTGGGCTTCTGTGAAAAATGTTTTCTAAATAGGAGGAATGCTGTAATATATTTACTCTCTTTATTCCTTTTTTTAAATTTTATTTTCCTTTTTGGCTTGATAGATAAAAAAATCAGTTCATGCCTACTAAAGAATATTCCCTGGACTGAATCACTTAGTTCTGTGCAAACATTTAATATTGAGTGCATTATTTTCAGGTTTGAGCTACAGCTTGCCTCTGCGGTCAGAAGAGTTACATGCTGTCACTTTTGTTCTCTGTCCCTGTGACAATTTGAGTATTCCAGTGCATGCATGCTAAGACAGGCTTTGCTTTGTACAAATGTCGTAGGCAACCTTGAAAACAGGTTTTGGGTGGTTTTTTGTTAAAATTTCTGTGAATAAAGATAATCCCTGAAATTCTAACAGAAAGCAGAAGAGCCAGAGGGAGACCAAGTGTGGTTGAAATGCTCTGGCCCAACTTAATTACGTTGTGGCGGGGGGAGGAGAGTGCTAGAGGGTGATTTTTTTTTTTTTCAATATTTGACCTCTGTGTAAAGGCAGAGCAAGGATTGGGAGTATTGGAAACAGAGAGAAGATGTTTTACTTCATTTCCATCAGACAAGGCTTTGTTGGCCTCAAAGCTGCATGGAGTCCTGAAGGGAATGCAGCATGTTGAGATGAACTGGAGGTGGGAACAGAGAGTGAGCTGCCAGCCAGGTTTCTGAAAGAAAAGCTGGGGTGAACATTGCAAAGAGAGGATGAAGTTGGGTTCTGCAGTGTAACAATAACTTTTTTTTAATTTGGCTGGAAGGGGATCCAATGGAAATAAAGCAATAAAAGCTTTGGGGAATATAGAAGATAAATTTGGCAGCAGCTTTTGGGGCGCATTTGAAATGAATACATTTTTAGTAGCTGCAGGAGGAAAGAATCATCAAAACCAGGGGGACCCAATGTAGTTAGTACTGATGTACACACAACACAAGAATGTGCTTTGGAAATGTCATATAGGAAGCAGATTTGAGACACTGAAAAGGTTTCTTGAGAGGGAAGTCAAAGATTCCCCCCTGACTTCAGGACCGAGTATTACAACTGCAGTGATTATTTGCAGAAACATTCTGCAGTATTAACCAAGATCTATTGATTATTTCTTACACATGTACCGTGGATTCAGAGGGCAAGATGAGCAAATCCTTGTTTTTCTTCTTAGCAGAAATGTCAGGGAACAAACATTGGCTACCTTTACCAGAATTTCTGCTGGCTAAAATAAAAAGCAGTGCTTTAAGGGAAGTAGAAATCTCTGTAAAGTAACTAAAAGGAAATTGATTTTTTTTTTCTTTAAATAAGACTTGTGTTAATATTTATTACATATGCCTGTGCGGCAGTGCCATTTTTTCTGAAATTACAAAGTCTCAAAGTTGGAAAATGTGTTCAAACCCACATTATTCTCCTTGTATATTTTATTACCCTTCCATTTGCCTCTGCTAATATTCACATTGCAAAGAAAGAGATTATAGTAATTGGTTGATGGTATGTAACAGAGGTATTCAGGGTCTGGAAGTTAAAGGTAATCTGGAACTATATTGTAGATCATCACAATATTATTATTTCAAGCAATTTGTGTACAATATGGGTCAATGCACTGGAAAATTATGTTTAATTTGTCTTTAAAGTTTAAAAAAGTATGTATTGCTTTGTCATCAATTAGCAGCAGGAGGGCAAATTATAGTTACATTAAACTGTGCTTGCTATATAAATCAGAAATCTTGTTAGCAAAGA